ACAGCACGCGTCAGGTAGAGGCGGCGGCGGCGGCGGCGGCGGTCGCTGCGCGTCTATTTATTCTCAAAAATGCGGCGAAAAGACGCGTTTCGGAAAGAGAGCTATAATGTATTCATATTTTCGAACTGGGCTCCCCGCGTCTGCTGTTATTGGCAGACGCGCACGTCGGTGGCGGTGTTCACAGTGGGCCCGTGTAGCAACTGCAATCGTTGGAAACAGTCATGGAAGCTCGCTTTGAGCTAATGTGACTTGGTAAACATGATTCAATTAAAGGATGATAGGTTAGTTCGAATTAAATTCTTATTATCTCTAAATTAACATTATGTCATCATGTTCATTTGTCTTATGCCTTATAGAACACAGTTATCCACTCCACCATTTATGGGACAGAATCTTGTTAATAGTACTACTACAAGTATGAGCAATAATTTTGAAAATACCAACGTGGGCAATAACAGAAATAATAATAATAATAATAATAATAATAATAATAATAATAATAATAATAATAATAATAATAATAATAATAATAATAGATTCATCTCCAAAGTTCGTGCTCTCTCCGTACTTGATTGTGCACTGTCCTCTGACTCTTTTAAGTATCGCAGTTTTGAAACCCTTTAATGCCTCTTGCACTGTTGGAATACCATCACTCTCTTCGAACGTCAGTTTACTCGCTTAAAAACATACGAGATGCTTTCAGTAGGGGGATGGCGCAAGCTGCTAACGAAACTGAATGCTTTTCCGCGCGGCACGGCGGATATCGCCAGGCTGTGACAGTCGCGTGCTTCCTGTCGCCTACGTAGAACTCAACGCGCTTTGTCCCGTGGAATATCAAGTGACAACAAGCTTGAAACTGAAGCATGAATGGCATAAGGTCGTCAGTAAGGTCCGACTCCGGGTCTACTACCTTCATCCCAGGGCAGACTTCTTCGATTATGACCTTTCGGACACGATATTTTGTTCAATCTCCCTGGAGTAGACATTTGTGACAGTAAGGCGATATATTCTTTTCCTGGAAGGAATTAACTTCCAGGACGTTTCATTTCCTAAGCTCACTATAGCCGAGGTTTAGGTTCACTATAAACGAATTTTCCTGTGCTTATGTATAATGAAGGTGAAATGGGACCTGTGATTTAAATTCACTATAATCGCGAGTTCACTATATCTGAGTTCACAAAACCAGAGTCGAGTGTTGTAGAGGCACGGCCAAGACAGACACCTAGATCTGCTCCTTAGGTAGCTGGTAGCAACCTGGAGTAGATTTTATATTCAGCAGACTCGTAACATCTTTAGCCGTGATGTAGAGGAATAATAATAATAATAATAATAATAATAATAATAATAATAATAATAATAATAATAATAATAATGAAGCTCCAGTGTTAATAGTAACGACTCAAATGTAATTAAAAATATTTTTAAATTTGACTACTAGAAGGAAGAACCTTTAGTGCTTTTGCAACGAATTTGTTTCAATCTATTATACTACGATTTAGAAGAAGAACCTTATCTTCTACTTCGCCTTTTCTACTTCGTATTTACTTTGCTTTCTACTTCGTATTTTCCAAGGATTGTCTATTCTAATTTTGTATTCCTGTTTCTTTAATCTCCCGCCGTTATCTGCCAATGTTGTGTCCTCTATGTAGAGTACACCTTGTACATTACACCTATACGTCCGTTCCTTTCTCTTAGCTAAGGACATATATGATAAGGGACCTTGTGTAGAGGTGAGAAGAGCGGGGATTAGGGGATCCGTGGCTTTCATTAACATTTTAAAAGGCGACTCATTGTCTTAATAAATAAAACATATTGTCTCCGTAAATATGTTCAATCCCTAATTTTCCTCTTTTCAGCCTGACGATTCAGGAACACGACATTGGGTTATGAGACATCTGGTACGTCTGTAATGGGTTAAACCAAAAATGAATTATAGTTATTAATTGAATCATTAGAGTTCAAATTTCATGTTCAATGATACATGTTTAATTTATTTACAAGTACAATATGTCATGTATCAATTTAAAAAAATGGAAACGGGGGCAAAATTGATTTTGCCTCCTCTTCGTTTAACCTGCTCAAGTTAATGGACTGTGTTGTACGATTGTAAGGTTGGGTTCAATGGTGATGGTGCAAAACCGGACATGCAAATATCTGTTTCGAAGAATGTGAAAAATTTATGGAAACTTTGATGTGCGATAAAAAACATTAACTTACTTTTTCATCTCTTGACAAAATTAATAATTTTATGTAACATCTATTAGCATATAAACATTTCTTGGTATAACCTATTATACACGTAAATATCTAATCTACAAAACAGATTACGTTTTTTCAATCATTCAATGATATTTTACTTTAAAATAACATTGTAGGCAATATATTGACACTTGCAAACAGATCATTACAAACGTAAACAGTGGAGCAGTCTGCTCAACATCAATAAATGAGAGTAATTTAATAAAAAATAAAACAACAATCGGTAAAATTACAAAATAACTAAAATACGCAACAATTGAAAGAAAATAAATGATACAAGTAAACAAATCAAATAAATATACCAGACCTTAAAATAGAACGTTTCTAAATAGTTCAGGAAATTAGGATTGACAACACATTTTTCATTGTGAGCTCTTTCTGCTAGCCGTGTGTGCGACCCATTTCGACCCAGTGTGCGTTGGGCTGCGGCGGCGGCGGCGGCGGCGGCGGTGACACAGTCCGCGTATTATTTCCAGCGCGGGCCCTCGACATCGGCTATGATGCACGCCCGTGGGCGGCTGGCCCGCGCCCCGCCCCCCGACCCCCGCCCGGCGCCTGGAAATAACC